GGGCAAATGCATGCATGTATTAGACGCTTATCGAAGGATCCTGTTATGGACAGAACCCGATAGCCAAAAGCCAACACGAGGCGTTTGCAAAAGGGGCCCTGATGACATCCTCTCCGCAAGAGAGCTCGAAGAATCTGGAATCCGAATCAGAAAGAGCGACAGCACAAGCCTGAATGACATCCATTTCGACTGTGATACCGGCATCCTTAGGCTTCCACAGATTACAGTGGACGATGTCAGCGAAACAATGTTCCTAAACCTAGTAGCTTTCGAGCGATTCCACGTTGGTGCGGGGAATGAAGTGACTGACTACATCTTCTTCATGGACGAAATCATCGATAACGCCATGGATGTGAACATTTTACAGAGACATGAAATCATCGAGAATGCATTTGGAAGTGATAAAGCTGTTGCAAAATTGTTCAACTCGCTCACCCAAGATGTTGCACTGGACGAACATAGCAGCTTAACTGCGGTGCGCGAGACGATTAACGGCTATTGCAAAACAAAGTGGCATAAGTGGCGAGCAGCTCTTATCCAGACTTATTTCAGGAGCCCATGGGCTTTGATTTCTGTTGTTGCTGCCATTGTTCTGTTTGCTCTCACCATAGCTCAGACTGCATATGGCGCCCTCCAATACTATGAGGGCCTGGACAATAGTCCATCCCCACCTGTACCCCCACCGCATAGAAGTTGATTATTTCATCTTCGATTTCCTTGTCCTAATTATTTTTATTTCATTTCCAGTGATTAATGATCTATGGTGCATTACTGGTGATCTATGGTGCATTACTGGTAAGGCTGATTCGGTCATGCACTGATGTTGCTAGATCAGCGACACCCTTGATCGTGTTGCCTAATTTGTGTGTTACGCTTCAGTGTTCCCGTTGAGGGACTGTTTTGATTGGAGGATTTCCGGGTGGAAATCCCTGGAGTGTTTTGCTGTAATCTTGATATTTTTGACTCTAAATCGTCATTTAAACCCAAATGGATTATGCTGCTAGAAGTAGTTGATTTGAACTTCAGTAGCCAAACTTATCGTATGCCAGACTTGGATTCAAATCCTTCAGTGTGTGTTCTTTCCATAAGGTTCGCTTTTCGTAAATGTGATTGTTACATTAATGGGAAGTCCTGAGAATTTTGTGTTCTTTAGGAGAAGAATATGTTTATCGATATCTGCTATTCAAAGATGCAAAAAGTACAATTTTCAACTCCTAGAACAATTAGAAACACCTTAGAAGTTAGAATAAACATGCTATCTAAGAAACTTTTGTTGCTCGGCCCACTAAAAGCATCCAATCATTTGGCATCTTAACACCTGTAAAGAACTAAGAAAACAGCAATAACGTAGTATACACAAAAGCGAAGGATAGTATTTTACTGCATATCTTACTTGTTAGTTGTGGCAAGATAGGAATGTGGAATCCAACTTTACTTCAATACAATCTTTCTTTTTTACACAAGAATTAGCTTTTGATACAATTGCAACTACTTATAATTGTACTGTCCAGAACAGCAGATTAAGTTACAAACGACTTGCAGAAGCAGCTATAGTCCGTCCGTCCTTCCTCCTTGAACAAACAATTAGTGCCAGCAGGAAAGATGGGCGAAAATTCATGGGTAGTTGAAGTAAATGACAAAGTCAATCGTCTACCAGACATCACAAGGGATGAAGAGAAGGCATGGCAGAGTCATTCCATCTACAAATTGCCTGCCTGTGTAACTGATCTTGTCACTGATAGGAAAGAGAGTGTTTACAAGCCTCGGGCAATCTCTTTTGGTCCATATCATTACGGCGAGTCAAATTTGGATCCAATGGAAGCTCACAAGGAAAGAGCTCTCCTACATTTTATCGAAAGGTCAGGGAATCCTCTCGAGCACTACCGTCGCGCATTATCTGGAGTAGTGAAAGAATTGAAGGATGCATATGACTCCCTGGACGACAAATGGAAACAAGATTCAGAAGCATTCTTGAAGCTGATGATTCGCGATGGCTGTTTTATGCTAGAAGTTTTGCGGTCATCATCCACTGATCTAACCAAGAATGGCTATGCCTCTAACGATCCCATCTTCAGCAAACATGGCATGACTTATATGTTGCCATATATAAAGCGCGACATGTTGATGCTCGAAAATCAGTTGCCCATGTTGCTGCTTAGAAAGCTACATGCTATTTACAAACAAGATGCCCAGGTCCCCTTTCCTCTCCTATATATATTTGTCTCTCTCTATCTTTACTTGCACGCATAATTTCTAGCAGATTTTGAAGAATATGCCGGCAAAAGCCACCTAATTGATGTGTAAAATAGAACCAATTGACATGTATAAATACGTCATTGATTATACACAAGAATATCTAGCGGAGTCTCTTGTTTGCTTTTCCTAGTTTTTTCAAAATTTTCTGAGTGTTGTACGATTTTTCAGACATCTGAGGAGTCTGCTGACCTATTAGAGAAATCCATTGAGCGATCTGAGGAGTCTGCCCAGGGATCTGAGGAGTCCGTTGATAAGCTCATCCTCAAATTCTACTCTCATAGTCATAGTCATAGCAGCACCCCACCTGAGTTGGACAAGTGTTTGCATATACTGGATGCATACCGAACGATCTTGTTATGGAAAGACAGTGCTACTAAAACTCAAGAATCTACTCAACATTGTAAAGTGGAAAACAACAGTGGCGAAATTCTCTCTGCAAGAGAGCTTGAAGAATCAGGAATCAGTATCAAGAAGAGCAAAAGTACAAGCCTGACGGACATCCAATTCGATTGCAAGTGGGGTATCCTGAAGCTTCCACCAATCTGTATGGATGATGTAAGTGAAACAATGTTTCTAAATCTAATAGCTTTTGAGCGATTCCATGCAGGGGCAGGAAGTCAGGTGACTAACTACATCTACTTGATGGACAAACTCGTCGACAACGCTAAAGATGTTAACATCCTACAATCCCATGAAATTCTCCACAATGCACTTGGAAGTGATAAAGCTCTTGCTCAATTGATCAACTCACTTTCCAAAGATGTTGTGCTTGATCGAGATAGCAGCTTAAATAAGGTGCATGTTGCTATTAACAGCTACTGCAAAACAAAACCGCATAAGTGGCGAGCCAGTCTCATCCAAACTTATTTCAGGAATCCATGGGCCTCGGTATCTGTTATGGCTGCCATTGTTCTTTTTGCTCTCACCATTGTTCAGGCATTATACGGTGCTCTCCAATACTACCAGGCCCTGAACAGTAGTCCATCCCCACCTCCGCCTCCACGTCCACCTCCATCGCATAGAAGTTGATTATTTCATCAACGATCTCCTTGTCCTAATTATTTTTATTTCATTTCCAGTGATTAATGATCTATGGTGCATTACTGGTAAGGCTGATTCGGTCATGCACTGATGTTGCTAGATCAGTGACGCCCTTGATCGTGTTGCCTAATTTGTGTGTTACGCTTCAATGTTCCCGTTGAGGGACTGTTTTGATTGGAGGATTTCCGAGTGTTTTGCTGTAATCTTGATATTTTTGACCTGCTAAAAGTAGTTGATTTGAATTTCAGTAGCCAAACTTATCATTTGCACGCCAGACTGTAGCCCCGCCTCTTACACCAATATATTTCAAAACCATTAAGCTGACTTGGATTCAAATCGTTCAGCGTGTGTTCTTTCCAAAGGGTTCGTTTTTCGTACATGTGATTGTTACATTAATGGGAAGTCCTGAGAATTTTGTGTTCTTTTGTGTCAAGTTCCTAATATTTGGGAAGTCCCTCAATCCATGATGTTTTACAATCCATCCATCCCCCCCACCCCCTTCCTTTCCCAACAGCCCACAAAAAAAATAAAAAATAAAAACATCCAATATGGTGTGTTTTAGATTTGTGTGGTCATTTATTTACTCTTATATATATTGGCAGAAAAACACTAAAACTTAAAATCCCAGAATTCATTTTCCTAAATTGCTACTTCCTGTGATTTCCAATTCTCATGAAAACAACTTGTTTTTCAAGAAATTGAAATCAATTTGCTTTAGCTCCGCTCATTAAAAAAAATGCTTTTGTGCATCCAAACCAGCTAATTTGTAAGTATTTTTTTGTTAGGATCCAAATACAAAATAAATAACTATTGAGACATTAAGTGCACAATAATTTAATGAGAAACAAACCACAGGCATGAAAGATAAACGATACACAATATTTAACGTAGTTCGGCTCTATCATTGAGCCTACGTCCACAGAAAGAAACTTGTTCTTTATTATGAGAGGAAAACCCTATACAAGAATACAATTTGAATCCAAACCCAACCCTTGTATACTATCTCTTATCTCCTAAGAACCCTCTCTCACCCCATGTACAAGGTTACATGTCGCCTCTTGTTTGTCCTTGTATGTCTCTTGTGTAGTATATCAACCCACCTATTTATAGGGAACATTATTTGGCCAAAACCCAAATAACAATAGGAAACTAATTTTAATTCCTAGACTTGTGCAAAATTGGAAATAACTTCTAATCCTAAATTAAATAGAATATTCCTTAGCTACTATTTCAAGTAAATAAAATCAATTAGAAAACTAGTTACTTCCACGCAAAACAAGAAATTTACCTAAAAGAAATTAAGCCAATTTCCTAACATTTTTAAAAAAAATTGAAATGCAAAAAGTTCAGGAGAAGAATATGTTTATCGATATCTGCTATCCAAAGATGCAAAAAGTGCAATTTTCAACTCGTAGAACAACCGCAAGTCTTAGAAACACCTTAGAAGTAAGAATAACCAGTATTAAACATGCTATCTTAGAAACTTTATTAAAAGCATCCAATCATTTGGCATCATAACACCGGTAAAGAACTAAGAAAACAGCGATAACGTAGTATACACAAAAGCGAAGGATATCATTTTACTGCTGCTTACTTGTTAGTTGTGGCAAGATAGGAATGTGGAATCCAACTTTACTTCAATACAATCTTTCTTTTTAATTTACACAAGAATTAGCTTTTGATACAATTGCAACTACTTATAATTGTACTGTCCAGAACAGCAGATTAAGTTACAAACGACTTGCAGAAGCAGCTATAGTCCGTCCTTCTTCCTCCTTGAATAAACAATCAGTGCCAGCAGGAAAGATGGGCGAAAATTCATGGGTAGTTGAAATAAATGACGACGTCAATCGTCTATCAGACATCACAAGGGATGAAGAGAAAGCATGGCAGAGTCATTCCATCTACAAATTGCCTGCCTGTGTCACTGATCTTGTCAGTGATAGGAAAGAGAGTGTTTACAAGCCTCGGGCAATCTCTTTTGGTCCATATCATTACGGCGAGTCAAATTTGAGGCCAATGGAAGCTCACAAGAAAAGAGCTCTCCTACATTTTATCAAAAGGTCAAGGAAACCTCTCGAGCACTACCGTCGCGAATTATCTGGAGTAGTGAAAGAATTGAAGGATGCATATGACTCCCTGGAAGACAAATGGCAACAAGATTCAGAAGCTTTCTTGAAGCTGATGATTCGCGATGGCTGTTTTATGCTAGAAGTTTTGCGGGCATCATCCACTGATCTAACCAAGAATGGCTATGCCTCTAACGATCCCATCTTCAGCAAACATGGCATGACTTACATGTTGCCATATATAAAGCGGGACATGTTGATGCTCGAAAATCAGTTGCCCATGTTGCTGCTTAGAAAGCTACATGGTGTTTACAAACAAGATGCCGAGGTCCCCTTTCCTCTCCTATATATATTTGTCTCTCTCTATCTTTACTTGCGTGAATAATTTCCAGCAGATTTTGATGAATATGCCGGCAAAAGCCACCGAATTGATCTGTAAAATAGAACCAATTGACATGTAGAAGTACGGCATTGATTATACACAAGAATATCTAGCGCAGTCTCTTGTTTGCTTTTCCTAGTTTTTTCAAAATTTTCTGAGTGTTGTACGATTTTTCAGACATCTGGGGTGTCTGTTGACTCATCCGAGAAATCCATTGAGCTATCTGAGGAGTCCGTTGATATGCTCATCCTCAAATTCTACTCTCATAGTCATAGCAGCGCGAAGCTGGACAAGTGCTTGCATATACTGGATGCATACCGAACGATCTTGTTATGGAAAGACCATGATACTCAAACTCAAGAATCTACTCCACATCGTAAAGTGGAAAACAACAATGGTGACATTCTCTCTGCAAGAGAGCTTGAAGAATCAGGAATCCGAATCAAGAAGAGCCAAAGTACAAGCCTGACAGACATCCAATTCGATTGCAAGTGGGGTATCCTTTGCAATCGGGGTATCCTGAAGCTTCCACCAATCTGTATGGATGATGTAAGTGAAACAATGTATCTAAATCTAATAGCTTTTGAGCGATTCCATGCAGGGGCAGGAAGTCAGGTGACTAACTACATCTACTTGATGGACAAACTCGTCGACAACGCTAAAGATGTTAACATCCTACAATCCCATGAAATTCTCCACAATGCACTTGGAAGTGATAAAGCTCTTGCTCAATTGATCAACTCACTTTCCAAAGATGTTGTGCTTGATCGAGATAGCAGCTTAAATAAGGTGCATGTTGCTATTAACAGCTACTGCAAAACAAAACCGCATAAGTGGCGAGCCAGTTTCATCCAAACTTATTTCAGGAATCCATGGGCCTTGGTATCTGTTATAGCTGCCACTGTTCTTTTTGCTCTCACCATTGTTCAGGCATTATACGGTGCCCTCCAATACTACCAGGGCGAAAAAAAAGGGTAAACAATCATAATCTCTAGCACCCTGCCGTTTAGCAACGTACCTAGCTGAGGTCTCAGTATCACTCTATCCCTAATTATGGTTTTCATATTTACTGAATGTTCTGGCCTTCACAAGCATTTTGTACCTGCAAAGTAAATGAACCTACTACACACTGTCTGTTTTATTGCATTCTTAACTTGATATTATAGGTGTGCTTACTGTTTTGGAACTCTGAGATGCTGTTCATGTGAAAGTTGAATTAATCTTCCATTCTTGTTGATCCAGTTGGTCCTTAATTTGTAACCTGGGATGAAGCAGAAGCAGTTTTAAAAGAAAGCAACACTAGATCAACTTTCAAGAACGATTTTAAAAGAATCAAAATAAACCTTCGATTTAAAAGAACCAAAGTAAACAGGGAGCGTTGACAGAAATTTTGATGAGAGTCTAACAACAATGCCCCAAGAAACGCCTATTCATAGGCTAAAAACATCCAAAACTAAAAGGGAAACAAAAAAAATCTTGTGAGTGGTTTGATGCGGAATCAGTAGGCGTTCGGGCAGGATTGAGGTCAGAATGCTCTAATTCGAAGTGGGTCCCAATCCGCGTAGGATCCTCACGAATCTGGCCAGTACCGGTTTCTTGAGAAGTATGCAGGCGAACTATTTTCTTTTTTTTCTTTGGTCTTTTTCCACTTGGCTCTGCGAAACTGAGGGCTCTAGCCCTCGTATCAAGACATCTGCGTTAGATCGATCCCCAAATTTTAACATGGATATTCCAGATCATGGGACTATTTCACTTGATAGCTAAGTTCTTGGTATAACTAATGATTCCGTCACTTGAACTAATGATCCTTCAGGAACTTATACTGCAAAGTGTGCTTTCTGAAAATTAGTGCCTCTAGGAGGAACGGTGGCATGGTACTCCATTGTTTTGGGGAAGAAGCATAACCTAAGGCATTATTTCACTGTTTGGTTGGTATGTAGGCAGAGATTGCTCATTAAGGACAGATTGTGTTCTTGGGGTGTAATGGTTCATCCATTGTGTGAATCATGCCTGATGCCACTGTATACCAGAGTCGTTGCCTTACCTCTCTTTCTTCTCTCCCTATTCTGCAGCACAGCTCAAAAGAGGCATTCATATCCCAAGTCAGAAGAATTGCTTTTGCTAGTACAGGATGTCATTTGTGGTGTAGCAGGAACAAGAAGATATTCCAAAAATTATCTATCCTCCCGAGTACATAATACAGAATAATCTGAAAGATGTACAAGGCATTGAAGCAGGATGGAAGGGTGTAGAGAGGTAACAAGAACAAATGCTCACCTTTGTATAGAGTACAGATGCTTGGCTTTTATGTATAGTTAGCCTTACTGGTTTTGCTAGGCCTACCTGATATTCTAGTCTTTTACGGTTTGCTTTGGTATGCTCTTACATTACTGTAATCTTGCTTGAGTATCAATGAAAATTATAAAGCTTACAACCCCAAAAAAAAGGAAAAAAAAAGGTTCTTGGGGAAATAGAAAAATAGAGAATTGCAATTTTGGCCTAAAATGTTAAGGGTGTGGTCCACAGTTGCCCAGAAGTCTTGCAAAAATCAATCTTGGTTCCTTAACTAACTGCATAATTTCCAATCGGTCGAGGAAAATTCGCCAAAGATTTTCAATTTGTAGCAAAGAATACCTCACGCTCGTTAGTTTAGGAAGCAAATTACTGAAGGAGTTGCACCTAGGTTGAAATGGATTGATTCTTGACTAAGAATTTTGGATTGCAAAAGTTTCATTATAGGAACAGTTTTCGAGATTTGATCTGGTATCAAAAGATGCAACACTTCAATCTATTCAAATGCCGCAGCACATTAGCCATGAATCCATCGGCGTTTCTTTTCGGTTAACATGGCTAACTTGGTCTTGTAGGGCATGTGATAAAAGAAGGTTTTCTTGCCCGGAGCAATGAAAAGCAACCAAAGAATGCAGTAAAATCGTAAAGAACTCTAAAGTAGCATATTTAGTAAGCCTCAAATAAGGTTTATATTTTATTACACTTCTAATTGTTTCTAATTGTGAGTCGTGCCAATAGGATGGATGGAGAATCCTAGTTTACTTCCATTTGAAGTTTCTTCTTATCTTTTAAGATGAATATCTGGCTTCAACTTTTGGTAAAAGTGATGTGTTATAACAAAGATAAATAAATTAGCACCTGGATTTGTGCAAAACAAGTGAAAAGAAAACAGGTCCTTGTGAAGTCTACTGATATCAAAACCCTGTTACGAATAAGATTGAATAAACAAGATCAAGATTTTGCAGAATTAGTACTTTTCATTCTTGGCTAGCTCAATTAGGGGCAATTTTTTAGTCGGCTAAAAAATGGTCTCAAAGGCCACTTAGAATACGTAAGTATCCACTTTGATCAATGGTGATATTCTTGAAATCACTCGAAGTCCCTGTGAATTAAATCCAAGACAGATCCTTAATTGTTCTACTACCACCTCTACTACTAGTTTTGATTCGAAAGCAAAACATCCATGAAAACAAAGTAATTCTTGAAGCAAATATGGGATTGCCTGTCATTGATAATTTCTTCATCTCATGGATGGTCACATAACACTTCAAAGTGCATGGCACCATATATTATGTAGAGTACTCTCCATAATTAAAACCAAGCCATAAAAAAAAAAAAGAAAAAGAGCACTACATTTACTCAAAATTAATGCTATACAAAGTACAAACAAAGATATGAGCTGATAAAAATGTTCAAACGAAATATGAGCTGATAAGAGGCAAGTGTTTGGTTGTGCACAAGATAGAGGAATCCGCATTTATCATGAAAGCCATTGAAGTGGATTTTCAACTTGAATTGGCTAGACTATAACTCAGTCTGTTACATTAAAAGATATGCATTCATTTACTTTAACAAATGAAGAATTTATTAGTCACAATCTGGCTTTGACATGTTTTCAATGCAATGCTAGAATTTAACTTTTTTATTTCTATATCTATACTATCTAAATAATTTAACCTTGAGGATAGATACATTTTGGATGAACATAATTTATTCTACAAATACCAACTTAGAAATACTAATTGTCATCGTTAGGATTCAAAGAAGTACATAGAGAAAGTTTTTTTTTTTTTTTTTTTCACTTCAAGGAGTGACTCTAAATCTTATTATGAGAAAGGAGAGAACTTAATAGTTGAACCAAGAACCTCAGTGTCATCTGATTAATGTCCTCTTACCAACTAAGTTAGGTGTTGGAGATGGAGAGTGGAGTGGAAGTTTTATTGGATTATAGGTCATCCAACTAATATAAATATATCTATATGCCAATATTTTAAAATCTGGATCAGGGAGAGAATTGGAAGATCCTTCGATTTGCGATTCAACCTCGGTTCAATGATTTAACATTTTTTTTAATTTTTTACTATTGAGAATTATCAATAAAATGGAAATATTTTTGTTAAAAAATTTTTAAAAAAAATTAGTGAGCTCTGTTCGAATTTCCCCATTTTTTTTGGTTCATCTAGTTCTTGAACTACGGAATTTCCAGGTTAATTGTTGAACTGTACCAGTGACATTCACTCCGGTTTTCAATACATTGCTATAACGAAAATTGAGTGTTGCAGGTTATGCTGAAAGACAGGCCTGTTTTGCTCCTCATTCATTTATCGGCCGAGATACCAAATTCAAAGCCCAGATCAGGAGTCAGGACGCAGCAAAGCCCAATTCAAGCAAGGGACCTTCCTTTCCTTACAACATATTGCCCAACAAATGGTATGGTACGGATACCTCAAATCGGCAACAGACGCGGATTTATTTATCCCTTTCATTTTCCATTGGTTTGATTGACGTGGAATAACATTGTGGGCTTTTTGAATAGAGCATGCGCATTTGAATAGAACATGCGCTATAACTAATTTCAGTCCAACTTAAAACTTCTATTGGGACACTGTTTAGAACTAGCAGCCGGCCCAAATTTAGTTTTACTAATATTGCTTCATAATCTGTTAACTTTTGCTCTCAAAATGTATGCTGTATTTAGTTTTGAAAAATCAATGGGTATGTCTAGATAGAGTGTTATTTGAAATATTATGTGAAATAATTACTGTAGTACTTTTTATGATGTGATATATGTGAGATAAGAAGGTGATTGCAAATATAAAAAGGTAGATTGAAAAATGTGTTTATGATGCCTGCGAAATATTATTTGAAAAAATGAGGTATGTGAGAAAGAAATCAACAATTAAGAGCGTTATAAAATCAAAAATACTAAGATTTCCATAGCATTATTAGGATGTTGAAGAATACAACTAGAATTTTATACAATCAAAATTGGACTAAAAGCTCAGTTCTAGACAGTGTAGCGTTATTCTGTAGTCACATAGGTATGGTGATCTATGATAATACAAGAAAATTAACAAGAAGAGTAACGTTTTTAACCCATGCATTAGCACAGTTTTCTTTTTATTAGTGTTAGTTATGAGTTTATAGAAGCATGAATAATTCAAGAAAAAAAATTCTTACGCATTCATGAATATTTATTTTAGAAAATGAGCGTATCTAAATCTTCAGGTACAATATTAATTTTTGAAAACTTTTATACATACATTTATTTTAATATAATATTATCTATAAGATATCCAAGGTATATGAAAAAGGTTGTAGATGTTCTTTAAATTAATTATTAAATTTTTATATGATTAAAAACCTAAATATATATATATATTTGTATTCAACTAAATGAATTCGAGTATTAAGTTGTTGGAAGAGAGAGAGAAATTACGAGCAATTTTGTTAGAGAAGAGTTGGATATGGATATAGGTAAAATCCAAGTTTCCAAATGATCCATCAATTCTTTTCAATAAGGCATGTCACCTAGAAAAGAGAAACGAGCAATTAAATTAGAGAGCGTTATATACACACACACATTTTGCACAAGGCAGACATATGACTGTTGAAAAGGTCACAAATCAGACAATCCAAAAGATTTCATTATCCCCATTTTTAACCTTGGCCCATCATCCCTTCACCCTTCATATGTTAACATGAATAGAGAGGATCGAGATCGAAGAGCCCTCGAACGACTTAATAGTAAAGAAGACACAATATTGAATTTTCAATTCAGAGCGTGGCAACTCGTGTATGAAATAGTTGTAGAATACAAGTAATTAGTTTTTTTTTTCCAGCACTAAGGAAACTAGTGATTCGACTTATACGTAACTTTGATGTTTTATTGGTGAACAGGTTGAACCCATAGGAATAATTAAAGATAGCCAACAGTTCTGCAATATTATTATTGTAGAGTTGGGGGACCTTCGTTCTAAATATGGTCAAATAAATTACCCATCTGCGTGATCAAAGCATGAAAAAAAATTATTGTATTATCATCTTTTAGCTGCATGGTTGAATATATTATTTGAGTTCAGTCACCTTGGTTTCTGAGCATATTAGTTTATTGGAAGACGAATAAGATGGTTTGTATAGCTCATGAGACATAATAATTCAGAGCACTAGAGATAATTCATGAGACGTTTTCAACTAATCTGCCCTGAAAAGTAAAAGGGTTTCTCTTCTATTGGGGTATTGCTTTGAGAAGAAGATTCCTCCACCTTCATAATGCAGGATGATGGATGAGGCTGGATGCAGAAGGTTGATAAGTGACTTATAAGCATTGGGATGAGCTCACAAAAGCATAAATAAAAAGTATTGTCCATCAACTTGACTAATAATGTATAGTATACTTGAGAGGACAAAAGCAAGTAGGGGAAGGTATAACTGGGGATTGTCTTCACCATATTATGGTAGCAATACAATATTCTAATCTCCAACCAGGTGCAGACAATTGATAAGTAGATTCATGAAGGATTGCTTCTATTAGGGGACAAAAAAAAATTAAATAAAAGAGCTGATGGATTTTCCACCTTTTGTTTTGTCGCATGTTTTCCACGACTTAACAGTCAATTCGAGTACAAGAAGAAGAAACCAAGACCATCAAGAGTTAATAATGGCAATTCATGATTCCAAAGTCTTCCTTGAAAAGTGATGGCTCGCCAATCCATGATACAACCATTCTAGGTTAGATTGTACTACATGAAAATATGTATAAATTTCATGCCTAGAAATTGTGCGAATTTTGGGAAGTTTGCAAGTGACTAATGTGAAAATCATTTTCAAGTCCTGATAGACTAGTCTACCAAAAAGTTTCCTTGTTGAAAGAGGTAATGACAACATCACATATTCTGGTCATCCAAATTCAAAGCCTCCATTTTTTCTACCTTTTCACAATGCAACAAGACTTTATTCCATCTTTTGAAGTCAAAAGAATCAATGGCTGTTATATGGAAGTCCGGACGTTCTCATTTCTGAAGGACCAAACAAAGAAAGTGGATGACATTCTCCACTGAATAGGCAAACCATTTTCTAGAGAAGCAAGTGACTATTCGAGGGTTTACGGACCGAGCCCGTTTGGATTGTTATTTTTAGGAATTTTTATAGAAA